GATTCATCGCCTATTGCTGACCGTTCCAAGTGAACAAGCTCGAATTCCGAATTTTTGTTGTCCTGCTTCTCTGACAGTACTTCAAAAAAGTTCTTTCATATTATGCTTTGATGCATTAAGCCCAAGAGCACTTATGCAATTCTCACATGCCTAGTAAAGCTGTGGTTGCGGTTTATGGAGCGAAGTTGCGTGGAAGTATTGGAACCACGGTAGTTTGTTTACATAAATGGAATGGGTACAGATGACGCCATCGGCTGCGTTATGAATTCAGTCAAAAACTCAACGACCGCAGGTACACAAGAGGACGAACTTTCCTTGGTTTTTCGCTAACATTCATCGCCTATCATGCGAGAGGTTGTTGCATTTGCTGGGCTAATTTAATTTAGATGAAAGCCTTCTGTGGTTAGCGAATTATTTTTCGCATCGGTTTCAGTTTGCTCAAGTTAATGGCGAAATGTCTGAACCACTGACAAGCTAGCTCAGTGTCGTACAAGGTTCCGTTCCATCGCCTCATCTTTATAACATGTTCACGATGAAATGGTTTTAATGTGATATCTGATTTCATCAGAATACTGGAATATCTTTCTTGCCGTGTGTCATTTTTTTCTTTATATGAACTAAAAGTCAACAGGTTCAAAACGCATGAATAGATTCATATGAAATTAAATATTAAATCACAATCGCTACATTTTTCATCCCGCGTATTGTACTTTATTTGGCAAAACCCATGGTCGTTCGTTGTTTTCGGTCTACCTTATAGTCGGACACGTTCGAGAGCTTTCATACGCCGAAAAGAGCAGTCACGAGGGCTGTTCTCGAACATGTATTCTATCGCTGTATTCGATTTCTTTGAATTGTTTCCTGCTACCTAAAGGTAATTCAAGATCGCTGAATATCGTTACAAGAGTGAGTGGCCTCCGTGTAAATGACCTGGCCTTTCCAATAATTGAACCAATAGTCTCACACAGCATGATGATGAAAAAAATATTCATAGCAAACCTGTGAACCCGTTAAAAAACGGTCTTTCACAACGTCAACAAATTCTGGGGGAACTTGAACTTATGTATAACGCAAATTCCATCTCCCGCTCACACCCTTCGCCACTCAAAAGTTATTAAAAATCGCTGCCTAAATTCTGCTCAGTTTATAATCCTTTCTATGATTTTGGCTCTTCATGCATATGAAATTTTCCTCTTTTTTCACTGAATGTTTTTGTAGTGATGCTTCTTTACCTTCCATCGTTAGTGTAATCCGTGTTTTCAGGTTTTGTTGAATTTATGTCGCATTTTTTATGCTGAAAAATAAAATTCACCGGTGATTTCGTTCAAGCAACAAAATATTTATTTATTAACAATTCACAGTGGTCCATCTCCGTGATCCGAAAGGATAAGAGGTCACGAAACTGACAGACTGACAATCTGGAGTAGCTGATCTGAGGGTCAATTTAAGAAGCTAATAAGTTGATCAAAACAACACATCGAAATTACCGAATAGATGCTCAATGATTAGAAACAATTATCTCTGACCGGTACATTTTAACAAATTTAGTTTCACTGTTATTAAACCATTATTGCACCGCCGTCCATGAGTTTCACCTCGTGTGTGCAATGTAACTCTGAAATTTCAGGCGATGAGTGGAATTAGTAATCTTCTAGAATAGATTTCTAAAACGAACTACGGTACCTCTTGACGAATATCTACGTTGCTGGAATGGTACGCTTATTCCTGTAATAAGTGAACAGCGATAGAACAGAAACTGAACAAGAAAGTATAGCGGCGAATACTTCGACGATAGATATGGTCAACAATGCTATTGTGGTATACACAAGAGAGCATCGCGGTTCGCAGACCAATCCGTACAGGTGCCATTCGTTTACGATTGTTGAACTCTGCGCAATGATGAAAGCAGACAATGCAGACGAAGCAACGGTAAAAAAACACAAAAGAAACAACGACGCCTTGTCGAAGCGTTTCGAAGCGATCAAGCTTATGATCCCACACAGGAGAAACGAGATGCCGCTGACTGTTCCAACATGGATTTTTGTAATCCAGTTAGTGATCAAATCCAATCCGATCATAAATAAGCCGCAAAGAAGATGCAACGCACCGAGTAATATGGCAAACGTCCTGAACGGCGACGGCTCTATCGGACTGGAAGGATGAACAGGCCGACGGAATGTCGTTGGCATGCGGCTCTCCAGGAAATCTGACAACAACTGTTGGTCGGTTGAGAGAATAGATCCCCGTGGTCTGGACAGAGTGGTCACCATCATAAAGAATTTCTTCTACTTTAAGATGCAGACTGTAGCATACACGATTCTTACTTGAGCAAAGCCATTTTCGTTTCGCACTATATCTTTTTGGATCCGTTGCGGAGGTCAGTCGATGAAGTTCGATCATGCACTGAAGAACGACATGACGAGTGATTAAGCGAGTTCTGGCGTCCATTAAGAGGTGCGCCAACTGTGCCACACCAGCTGTTCAGAATATAATTTATCCAAGACTGCCTTTGTTGATATTATGTCTGATAGAAGTTCCCACCATGCAATGAAAATGCAAGATTAAGCCGCAACAACATGTCGGAAGAACTTCTAACGAAGTTGCAGGTTATTTCGGTAGGTTAAAAGTAAAGAGATGTTAGTTATAGCTGTATTAATCGTCGTATGATCTGCATGTTTGAAAAGACAGAATGAGGATTAGAACCTTAGACTGATAATGTAGGTGACGAAGAAAAGAGGAGATAATGCGGTGACTTACAACACACACCACAATGTTTGCTTTGAGGACTGAGCCCATTAAATCCAGCGCCCACACATTGTTTTCTCATGGCAAAATCATCGTCAAGCAGTAAAGAGTGCTTGCATTTCATTTGATTAGAGAAAGCATATTCAAAAGTTGTGAGACAATTATTCAAGAGCTGTGAGACCGTTTCAAACGTAGAAATAAAGTCTAGAGAAAGAATACGGATTATTTTACTCCTGTCAAAGGGCTGTACAACATGGTTAACATAACTGGCAAAGGCGTATAATACGCTTAAAGTATTCCTGTATGCGTATTGCGAGTAGTACTCTTTCCAGGTGAAGGAGAGTAAGACGAGGGATTTTAAAAGGATGAAACAAATTACATTGGGAGGAAGTTGCTGAGGGTTCTTGAATGATACTTGTTCTTCAGAATAGGGAGAATTCTGACCATTTTTCAAGAATCAGGGAGAAAAAATGATTGAAGATTTGGCAGTAGATATAGAAAAGTTCTCCATGATGATAAACCTGAACAAATGCACCGAAATGGTAATGACCTTGAAAAACACCTTTGAAAACCTTTTTCTTTCGCGGACAGAACTGTCGGGAAAGACGATGGAAAACTTTTACGTGAATCATTTACACAATTTAATTCTTATCTTGATCAGTCAGCTTTCGGCTGGATTTCCAGCCCTCATTAGCCAAGTAATAAAACGCTCCGATGCATCTTTGATTCTGTACGTAAATATCAGCAGCCATATGGTATGTCAATATTAGTTCTAGTCAACAAGCCTGTCATGACTATCTGGCGTATCGCACTGATTACCTTCGACAAGTACCAGCGAAGTGACCGTTGTTCCGCTACATCTGATCAGAATGGCTTTGAACTCGGTCTGTGTTGTAGATTAAATCATGCTTTCGCATTGCTCGTCGACAATTCTGATTTATAACATTTTCCGTGGTCTGAACCAGGAAAGCCTCTAAAAAGACCCTTTCGAACATGTTCAATGCTATGGCAGAGGGTCTTATTCCCGTGGAGTTTACGCCATGATTGATAACATGCCCATTTAACATGCTTTCGCTTTCAGAGAGAAGCTTTTCTCGATGCAGCAACTGGCGTGTTACAGCAAAACGTTAGAATACAGAGAATATCACAAACCAGAGAAGCTTTGTTTATGCAAATGGATATTTAATCAAATACTTTAGAGCACGCAGAGATACATTAGTTACTTCAACTTATACAAAACTGCAGAAGGCACTGTGTAATATGATATGTTTACATAGTCCTCTGTTCTTGCATTTTTTCTATATCACCTTCTCTATCACCTATCATCTGCACTTTGCTAATTATGCCGATTGCGCAATCTACTGAGGATTATCAAAGAAAGAGAATAAAGTATTTGCAGGGCGATTCTAATGATCTCAGACGCCAGAAAAATTTACAGAAATCAATCTGTTGCCTGAAGTGCAAGCTCCATAATCAGTAGTCCCTTTCTCAACATTTTCTCGTCGGATCTAGAATGCTCTAATCACCCACTGCAAGAAGTGTTTTTTCTGGAAAAACCGTTGCGGCTTACACTCTGACAATAGAAAAAATTTTATGTTCCATTGTAGCGGCAGGATCAAATAAGTGCCCAATATGAGAAATGATCAACACTCTGAAATTGAATCATTCATTACTCCCTCCATTCCATGGTTCATATGCTACTTCAAGCCCTGAAGGTTTTCAACATAAGTTAACTCTATCAAAGCCCCTTTCATTCATAAGGCATGGAGAAAGGAAGTTTGTAGCCGTTGGAATGTCTGATTTCCTGACATTTTCATGGTTGGGCCATTCTGCCGCCCCTCTTCATGAAATTAACTGTAGGCGCTAAGCACCGTTTTAGTGCCATCAACCAGGAGTGCTTAATTATTTTTAAAGGCAGAATCGACAGCAGCTACGTCGCAAGCATTGGGTGTAGTCGCCTTCTTCCTTCCTACAGAATGGCGCTCCCTCGAAAAGAAGAAAGGCGAGTGACCCAAGCAGGGGCTTTAACCTGGAATCTCTTAGTTCGCTGAGTTTTTGTCTGAAGAAACATGGTAAATTCCTTACTCAGAGAAATTCGCTTCAAGACAAAGTTTTCTCCTTCGCTGGAATCGAACCCGGCACCTTCGGACTTTAAAGCCGATCTCTTAGGCACTGTGTCCCAACGCCACACAAACACACCGTTTGCTTGCTCGCTTCCGATGAGAACACGGTTTCCTGGGTTACAGCACGCTTAACTTTGAAGCCTGGCATGAGCAGAACATCTGAAGCAGGCTACTGTTTGATACTAACTACCGGCTACTCAAATGGTATGAGTGGGGGGGGGAGAACTGAGGCGTGCCTCACAAACTAATCGCGTATTTTTAGACACAGCTTTGATTCAGTCAGAATGCCGGCAGCTTTAAAGTATGTTCTTATTACACTAGCCTGCTATCAATTAGTATGCTCTGGCAAGAAAGACAGTCACTCAGGCGGTTCGATGACTCGCGTCTCGTGACGTCCTCATGTCATTCCTGTGACTCTGCCTCCAAAAATGCAAAAAGTGATCGATAATCTTGCGCACAGGCAGAGGGAAGTTAATGAGATTTGCTGCTATGGGACGGACTGTTAACCAACGTTTCCTCCTAGCTGATCACCACCATGTAGTTGCCTGCCAGGAAGGCAGCTGGTGTGCTAGTGGGGCAGATGACAATCACCGACCTATCTGCGATATGGTGGGACGCGGCGACGCCAGATGAAGGTCCCGCTGAGCCTTTGTCAGTTGACCAACTTTTGAGCGATGGTTAACGTCGTCTGAAATCGTGCAATACAACCGAGCTGACACGCAATCAACGGATAATGATGGCGAGAAACGACCTGATGACAACAGCAGGCGCCTTCCCCCAATGATGTCAGATGATGCCAAGCGAGAACGCCTTTTTTGTACGAAATGTGGCCGCTAAGCTTAACAGGAGGCCGTCGTTTTCCGCTATGAATAAAAGTAACGCTGTACACTCCACGGACAAGTACCGACAGTCACTATATAACATCGTACCTGCTCTCATTGTCAGGAATGCAATAAACGGGTAAACTTCCGCATCACTGCAACAGGTGTCTAACCGAAGTCTGGGTAATTAGAAAACGCCTATATTCGTCAGCGTCTCCGAAAGACCGCTGGGAAAATATTCGCTGATAGATCGTTACGACGTGGCCAAGTTCTTATCGTAACAGCGTCCTACATTTATGAACTTTAGTACTGTATTTCAAAATATCTGTGTCATAAGGTGACGGTATGCTCAGGTTCATTGATCATTGAAGACTGCATGAAACTTCAGCAATCACATGCTGCCAAAACAGTTTTGCAAATTTTTCAAGGCATAACATATTATCAGGATTTAAAGCGACGCATTATAAAGTTTACTTTATTAAAAACCTTTCAATGCTTTCGCATACAAAGTCATCCGCCCACGCCATATAAAACTTTTCGACACCTGAGGACAATTTAAACTTTTTTTTAACACTAGTCAATAGCTAATCAATGAACCATCGAATACCAACCGAATACATGACAACGTTTTTACTACTGAGGCAATAATCTTGATTCACAGGAATCAGACCGAAACCGTTCGAAACCATATGCCATTTCCGGAATTAGGTGGCGACGAAACTGATACGCTTTTAATGCTCGTATAATTGTCTCGCGAGTAATTCAACCTCCTTTGAAGAATTAATTTGTCTTAAAAACGATTTTTAGCAGTGAGCTTTAGTAAGAAGTGACTTTAGGCTCAAGGGAATGTCAACCTGAAAATGATTGAAGCTGTCAGCAAAACCGCAGGGACACAATTCGACCACATATTGCAAGAATCAGGAATGAAAATGCTACCTACGGAGATATTTTAAATCTGTGGACTCGTTTGTATTGCAATGTTAATTCAGTTGTAAGTGTGATAACGAACTTGACTTTCGAAAATCGTTTATGCCCATCTTCACAAAATCACGTGAAAAATTTAATGCTAAGTAGTTGAAAAAAACGTTTATAGTATGGGTCCTCGTATTTGAACTTTTTTAATGGAAATTCATCTAAATTTCAAGCCTCTGTCTATAAAAACAAAAATAAATAACGGCTGATAGCCCTGCTGAGTAAAATCATATCATTTCTGTCTGCATACAGAACAAAATCTCACTTAACGCATAACTCCGCCAAGAACAGATTCCACAAGAATTTCAATTGTTCGCAAAGGATATATGTAAGAAAAATTTTATAATGTGAAGAAGATTCATTGGATCGACTGTTCAGTCTCGCGCCTGTAAACTTCAGTTTTGCGCATCATTTTTTTAAAGCAGGTAAGCCATTCTGCATTTTTTCAGAAAAAATATTAATAGGAAAATTTGCAACTATTAGAGAATTGGACCTTTCAGTA